GCTATTAACGAGAGCCCATACTGAACACGCGCTCTAAATATCGCCCTCAATAATGACGTCCAGTCAATATCGTCGTGATTAGGGTGCCTACATGTCTGTCTGTCTCAGGGTAAAGACCTCCATTGTTGCCCTGAATGTGCCAGCGCGTGACGCTCTCGCGCACTCGGTGCGTGACTTGGGCGGTAAAATGGCGGCTATGCATTAGCCAAAGCTACGCGCTCGAGCTGAGTGACACCGGAATGCGCGCACTTCAATATGCATTAAAAAACGAATGGGCGGAAAAACATGGGTGAGATGTCACCACTCAAGCAAAAGCGCGCGTGTGTATGAAGGCATTCTAGTCGAGATGTTTCGGTGGCGCCCTCCTACGGTTTCCTCTCCTGACGTCATTACCTTAAGAAACAACAAGTTCGACGGTGTTTGTAACGAGCATAGTGGAAGCTTGAAATCATTGTGCTCTGAAACCAACACTGCCAACACCGTCAAAATTTAAGTTCTTACATTACTCTTATTTCCGTTCCTGCTAAATCCTTTGCTCACGGCATACTCAGCATCACTCATGCGCTGATAAACCTATCCAAAAACTTTCAGCCGTTCCACTCTGGTGAAGAAAAAAGACCAGCGGAGCTGTACAATGGAAAGTAATGGTCGGCCGCAAGTCGGCAAGACAGAGTGGAAAGGCTGCGTGGCTAGCCGCCGTCGCTCATAGATGGCGGTAAATGTCCAGAGTTGGGTGTCTTTAGGGTGCCTTCATGTGCGCTTTGCTTGGGGTGATGACATCTGGCCATTTTGTTTCGAACGTTTATTTTTATTTTTTGTTCTGAAGCGCGTGAAAGAGCGCGTCCCTGCACGCGCTCGTGGCGCTGACTCTGCTACGGCGACATTTTGTTTCCTACGGTTTCTTTGTATTTTACCCGTGAGCGCGTGCTGTCGGCATCGGGTACTACAAACGATGGCATCACCCTAAACAGAAGGACATTGAGGCACCCTAGGTGTCTTCATTTCTTTGCGGGGAGACACGATTTTGGGAAAACTAGCCCTGAACAGCTCCGCTGTAAAAAGGGCTCATCGCCGATTCCATTTTCAGTGCTCGTGCGTATGGCGCGTGATTTGCTCTCTTTCCGAAGCGACAAAAGTGCACGTTCTGGGCTGGGGAGATGGTGCACCAGAGGCAAAAGCGCAGGTGCGAGCTCGTAGCTTTCCCATATCCTTACCTATCTCGAGCACTCGCGAAAGGAAAGCGAAACTGAAAGCCACGTGCCCGCGCCTGTGACCTTGCGTTTGCTGCACACAAGTCCTGAGATGGAGCATAGGGAGTATTCACTGGGCGGCCATATTTGTGGGTGCTGTTTAGAGCGCATGAGTGAGTGAGAAAACGTATTTATCAAAGGGATGGGATACATCACGATTTCTTGATAAAGTCATCCAATCGTGAAGGGGGAAGGGGATTATGGGAAGGGTAGGGGGAGGAGGCTAAATGTAACAGTCGATCCCCGATGAGAGGACGAAACTAATCAGGGAATCGAGAATGTGTTTGCGGTGCGGGTGCTTGAGCTCAGAACGAGCTCACATCAATAGGCTGCTAAGACCGGCACTCTTGATGGTGCGTTAATGCACGTTACAAAAGAACTGTGAAAGCTCGCCATCAACACGCGCTCAGCAGTCGCGCACACAGCTATGGCCGCCAGTGAATACTCCCTATAGCTGTTGCAACTTCACGGCTGTCTGTCCCGCGGTCGAGTACGCGGCATGCATGCGCTGCAAGCTTGGAACAACGACTGTGGTCTGTGGAAGGTGCATAGCAACAACGTTTATTGCCTCAAGTCCCGGCCCCAAGACATAGCCCGCGCTTTGGGCTTCACAACAAAAAGAGTGATCTGCTTGATAACATCGAGCAATACTTTAATTATTACCAGCAAGTAACATAGACGGATGATAATGATGCTGCAACACCGGCAAGTTAAAATTAGTTGACTCCTTAGTCCAGAATAGCCGACTCTTGCCATTGCACGGGCGCAGTTCCTCGTCACGAACATATTTCGCCAATTCGTATATTAAAATACTAAAACAGTTAGACGTTGTTTAAAATATATGATTTGTTCTTATTCTCCTCACATCGCGTTTGCGGGGCGGCTGCCGCCGTTTGCTTTTCTGTGGTTCACTTCTTCCGACGACGCACTTGTATCTTTTTGCGGTATGGAACGAGGAAAACACTATTTTTTGAGCCACCAGCGAATACCCCCCTAGGATTTTTTTACGTTTGTTTTTGTTCCCGCGTTCCACAGTTCTCTTAGCCAAAATGTGATTCTTGTTTGTGCCTTTAGGGCCTTAAAAAACCCCGAAGAAGTCAACGTATAAAATAAAACTTGAGTTTTTTTTGTTTTTTTTTAGTCCAGTTATTGTGGCAATAATTTGCCAAACAAGTGGCACAGTGAGGCTCTATTTCTGGGGTGTCAATATTCCTATGACAACTTGGGCCTAAACTGCCATACAAGTGCCAGATTTAGGCTTACAAGTGCCAGATTTAGACATAAAAGTGCCAGATTTAGACCAGACATAGCACCTTTGGCTCAAGGCTGGCGCTTCGGCAATTGTGTCATGGGACAGAGAAAAGCAGTAGAAAAGTAATCTGCCCCTCACTAATGCCTTGCTGCAATGTCGTATTAGGCCCAAATTCGGCCTGTAAGACTGCCAAGCTTGTACCAAATAAGGCGTTTATCTAACGTGCTAACTGGCTGTATATAAGACCAATGCTGCGTGGAAGGGCCGACCGGCAAGTTCGTAATCAGGTTAGCCGGGCCTTTTCTGTGTTTCATATCGCGTTTTTGCCTACTCTTCCGGTTGCAGCGAGTCTGGAAGCTGATCCCCACTGAAGCCAGGAGAACGTCGAATGTTTGAGCAAGGGTTCCTCCTTTTTTACCTATCTATGACACAGAGAGGAAAGTTTAAGAGACGCTTCCAAATTAAGTTCAAACAAATCAGATTAAAGGCCGATCTAAAGAATAAACCCTACCTCTACTTTTCTCCTCGCCATTCCTCCCGCAAGAATAAAAAAGCAGAAAAAGAAAGGCAAATGGTTTTCTTTTTTTTAACGCTTCAAGGTTCGTGTTTTGCTTGGGAGATAAATCTAAAAACGTTAGGAGAAAAAGTAAAATAAAAAATTTGTATTTTTCGTCCACAGTGTGCGAAGAAGCAAGAGTGATAGGTGTAGCTCGGTCGCACAGTGCGGGTGCAATTGTGCCATCACGTACCTGAGGACGGAGGTGCATAGCTGGTTAATTCTCATCTCCGTCATGGTTGGCGTCGTGGATGCCACTGACGACTGCCAGTGGCACTAGTCAGTGGCATCGACATCCACGACGCCAACCACGACGGAGTTCAAACGGAGTCCGTTTCATCCATGAAGGAAGTGGGTGACCTCAGTGGAAGCTTCTAAAACCATCCAATATTACGCGTAGCAGATGGATACTCCCAAAATGGGATTTCGGATAACAAGAGCGATATTTGAAAACAAGTATTTCAAGCAGACGACACTATGATTTTCCTTTCGTCGCGTAATTCTTGGCTGCCCTCTTCGCTCTCTTCTCGCGACACGGCGGACGGGAAATCTTGTGTTCCCTCTCCTCGTGGCATAAAAAAATAAAATACTTTTTTTTTTTTTGCGCTTGCGGCGACGAGAACGAACGAGGAAGAAATCTTTACAAAGTACACCCCATAAAATTATTGCTTTAATATCTCTTTCAAAAAAGTGAGGGTGAATTTCTCCCAAGCAGGAAAGGTGTTTAGGGTTACTCTTAAAGCTGCAGTAACACTGTTACTACAGCATATGAAAGACAGTCTGAAGGTACTATGTAAAGCGTGTTTCTTACTCGCACGACAGCTACACTGGTCAAACAATAGACTCTCTGTAGACACGTTCGAAACATACTTATGTATGCATTAGGTGTGTTCGCAGATACCTTTTGCTAAAGCACCAAGCACCAAGGAGCATGCTTCGGATGTAGTCACACGCGCAGCAGTAAAGCCTGGTTCAGACAGTTGCGTTTGACGGCGTTGCGTGTGCGAGAAACCAGGACATCCCTGCTGCTTATATCATGTGGCATGATGATACCTTGAATTGGATTCCACGCTTCATACGAAGCACAGATGTGCCGGTGGCTGGCTTTCGGTTCTTGACGCAACGCAGTCAAACGCACTCAAACGCAAGTGTCCGAATCGGCCTTAACTGTGCTAAAGCAAAAGCCTAAAACAAATGGCATCTTCCACGCGCCTTCGTCAACGCCTTATTTTGGTACTTTACCAAGAATATTTTATTCGTGCTTGCGGCGCATGTACTTGCATTCAGAGCATTCTCCCTGATACTCGGCTAATTTAGCAATAAATACATTCGGTCGTCATGTTCGCAGCGAATACCGTGTGTTTGATGTATGAGCAAAAGTGAGTTCTGCCTCAAGGTGTTAGGACCAGAAAAGGCGTCTTACTAAATTACATTATTTCATTTTCTCCATGTTCCGATCATAGAGAGCGGTATTTATCTGACCGCGCCCTCGCGACGTAAATCGAAACTCGAAGTGCAACACGGCCTTACTTTTTAGTAGAGCACCTCTTAAAAAGTTGTACCGGGTGTAAAATCCCGTGAGAACAAGTGATGATCTTCTTTGCTATCAACATTCTTAAAATTAAAAAAAAGAAAGATGTCGATGATTATTGCGTCGATAAAATTAGGCGACCTCTATTTTCCTGGAATATGCGCAATACTCTCTAGACGAGACGCAGCCGACGCAATACGAGCTAATAGGACCAATCAAGCAGCGTCAAAGGCGACAGTCACTGGGCCTGCGATTTGTTCAGCGATGATAGAACACACACAGAAACGTGGCGAACACCATGATGGTGCGCTTTTGTTGCTTTCTAATTGGTCCCATGAGCTCGTAGTGTCGGCTGCGTCTAGACTTAAGGTGATGCGAAGTATATGGGACGCGAAGGAGGCAGTCACTCACTGGACGTGTCGTAGAAGAGGTCGTTGAGGAATGAGAAGCAAGGCAGGACGGCCACGGTGCCTGGTGACGTCACGGGCCAGCAGGAGAGCCCGTCCCACTTCCGCTGGCAGGGCAGTGGACCGCTCTCGTCTGCGCAATCAGAGGGTAGAGGTAACATCAACATGGCTCACTTGCTGAGGAGAGGGGATGGTGGTTGAACTGCATCGTATATCTTAAACCCGTGTTTGTCTGCGTTTGTATATTTGACTTCGGATCTTGGCGGTCGCTCTCTTCCGACGTTTCGCGAGGAAATTGTGGGCACGCGCCTGTTTTATGCAACGTCACAAAACACTCAGTTGGGAAACTCGCCGTTGAAACCCGGTCCGTTCGCGTCCACCGAGACCAAACTAAACGCGATAACAACGCCGCTCTTTAGGGACGAGTCAAAACATAAAAAGTGATTTATGTCGCTACCGCGAAATGGCACTGCCAGATGGCGCCACCGGCCTTTGCGGGATTCAGCGCGATTTGACTTGAACCAATACGAGCAGCAATGCATTTCCGGAAGTGGCCGCTGCGGGAGACGTGCCGGCGTTGCGATCGCCTTTAGTTCGGTTCTCGAGTACGGATCGTTGCCACTTTTTCAAAGCAAGCTCTCTGGCCGTTTTCAACCGAGTTGTTCGAGTAACGGTGACAATATGTTAGGAGACATATATCGTAAGTTATGAGAGCGAGCTCCGCGCTTTGAACGGGCCTGCCTAATACGCGCGCTCGTGTGGTGCAGAGTAGATGAAAGCGTGTGCTCGCGCTTCTGCAGTCGGTTCCATGTTAAGAACGCAAATGAGACTTTGCCTCCAGCACGTGACCGTTGCTTTGTGTCCTGCTTTGTCTGAGCGTGCTCACAAGACGCTAAACGGTTATCTACAATAGAAAGCACGCGCTCGAGGGGGAGCTTCTACTGCGACCTTTGCCTGTCAACCCGCTTAGCTCACACCTTTGGTGAAACACAGGTAGGCTTATAGGTATCTGTAGTGCACCGTTTTTGCATTACTGCAAGCTTATTTTGATATACAATGAGTTGGTCTACAACAAAAGAGACTCTCATTCACAAAGTTCAAGTTTCTCAGTGTGAACTTGGGAAGCCTGACCGACATTCTACTAAGAGCAAAAATTGCATTCACGTCCAGAACTGAACTGAAATAGCGGTGTTGTTAGCTTTCTATACGGTAAGCGCATGGTAACTTTTCAAATAATTAAACGGGCATGTCAAAGCACACTAAAAACTTAATTTCGAAAGGAAATTGGGAGTTTTAGAATTGTTTTTACAATATTTCGTTAGATGGAATGGGTCCTCGCACTTGCTCTTAGTTAAAAGCTATAATTGTTGAAGAAATATGATATATTGTCGAGCAGTTCACGAATTCCACCGGGAGCACCTTAAACTGAAGATATCGCTGGGTTGAAACTGACTACCAGAAAGATCAACTTAGCCATTATTTTTAGACAGGGCACAATACTAAATTATTCCGTACATAATTGAAATTCACAAGAGAGGGTTATCTAATTTTATGATTATTTTGTATCGATTGCTATCAAACAACATCAACAGTTATTCGCTTCGATAATCCCTTCAATGGGCTTAAAGCATAATATATCATAGTTACTACCGAAACCGTGAACTTCGATTGTTGGGTTTCGGCCCTAACTTGCACGCGAAGGGTGACAATTAATTAAGGCCCCTGCAGACCAGCGCATGTCGGACTTCCAGCTGCCGCCAGAGTTAGGAAAGTTAATCATGTACCACTCCTTGTTCTTCACGGCAGAGCTCCCTTAGCATGGCGCGTCAGCAGCCCTGCTCCGCCTAATCAACATACACTTCGACAGCTGCCAGGAGATATTGAAAAATCGTCCGAAACAGGCCGGCGATACTTCCACGGTCCATTGCTCAGAGCTGATGTTAATAAGATGAAGTCGTATACAGAGCTCCGCTTGCCCCCTGCACCCCAAAGGACCGTCAAGTGTGGATTGGAATCCAAGACGGGCAACCTTGAACGCCCATCGTCAGCCTCCAAGCGAACGCGGACATGGGTGTCCTAAGAGCAGCCTGAGTGATGTATCGATTTCCTGCAGGCCGCAACTTGGCGCGCTTGTCCCCGTGTTCGGTCTTCCCTGTCGAGTTCCACTTTGGCGGGGTCTGCTGTGCTAAGAGTCTACTCTGGTTGTTCTTTTCTTTCATCCGTCTTGTTTTGTTTTCTGGTGTGTGTGGGTGTTTGCTTATGCGCACGGAAACTGAGCTACTTCATTTGCGATATCGGGGCTATCGAGAGTTCTGAAGGGGTGTCGAAACTTTGGGCACGTCTTTGCCAAAAGCGGTGGTCCCTTAGGAGGAGAGGGGTGAGTGGAGGACGAGGTGATCGAAGAGCAGAAGACGTCATACTGAGTGCGCGGTCATTGCGGACTCTACGCTAGCCTGTAGGGCGGAACGATTGTGTAGTTTCCATCGTTAGACATGGAAGAAAGTTCAAACGCAACGCGAAGATGGTCTACGCACACCTTAAAGGGAATCTTCCTGGAGGTCCCATGAGCGGCAAGCGATATGTCGATATGTGCCTGAGCTTCGTCAGGCCGCAGAAGATGGTAAATTTCTTAGTGTAACGTCGACTGCCATTGTCAGGCTTCATGGAGCTTCCTCTACAAGCTGGATACGGTATCCAAATGGCTGGGCTAGTTGGTTGAAATTAATCGTTTACGCACGTTTTAAGACGTACATTAATTACCCAATGATGTTGGTGTCCAATCCTAATCATAAATTTGGTATCTAACACGATTCAAAAGAAGGAAAAAAAGCTCAAAGCAAAGGTAATTCAAAACGGTAAAACTATCGCACACTGATTGATTCCAGAACACCAAGTTGTGTTACGCTTGTCGTAGCTATTTTGTCAAGCTTATTGAATTTTGTTTTCCTGATCCGAAAAAAAGCAACCAGGTCGCATGTATTTCCCATATTCTATTTATATTTAACTATTATTTATAAAATTTATAATATGAAGAAAAGAACATAAACGTCCGAGACAAAGGAATACTTTTGCATGCTAACGTTTTGCCTGAATACTTCATTAGACGTTGAATTTAACGCAGTTGTTCTTTCCAAAACAAAACGGAACTCTTTTTTTCGTTCGCCACAGTAAAAGTAATTCTTAGTTTGCTAGCAATAAAAAAGCACAATTTTTTTTTTTTTTTTTGCGCGGAATAGGTGACGACGTGTCAAGTTTAGTTTAACCTGTAGAATGGCCCTTTTTTAACGGACGTTCAAGAAATTTATGAATCCGAAATGGTACTTCAATTGGTAAAAAGGGAGTAGCCACTTGTTCTCGTTAGCGTGAAGGACAATTTACCTACGTTTCAGAAAACATAACCTCTCGAAAAGCAGAATGTAAGTCGCGAGATCATTACTTTGATGGACAACCAAGTTGAAGGCCAAATGTACGTCTTTTCTTTCTTTGTTCCGAACAGGTTATGTGCAGAGAAACTGGAGAAGGAGCGCAGACAAGAGCGGTTGAGGATGTGAGAACGCCGAGTGCTGGTTCGAAGGTATACAGTGGGTACACCTAATGCTGGCTGACTTTGTCTCCACGGCACTTGCCGATAGCGTTCGAATGTGCAAGCCAAACGTCGGACGCTGTTCTATGTCCTAAAGAGCGATTCAAACACTTGCGTCGAGTCCAACCAAGTGAAACTGCAACGGTTTGTATCGTAACGGACGCGTCTCCAGCTCCACGCTCGCCCTCCCGCGACGGAAACTGAAAGCGCTGTAGTGAGGGTCTCCCGGTTCTCCTTCTCAGTGGGTACGGCGCAACAGCTCGCGATCGTGGCCCGCAAAATGGCATTTCCGAATGCAAACAACACTCTTCACTGCCCCAACCCAGTGCTGCAGCCGGTATGGGACTGTACCTTGTTAGAGAGCTTTAGTATTGCGTATAGAAGCAAACGCAAGCACTGTGTGTTTGCGTTAGAGTTGCGTGCCCCACGCTACGCGTGCGCGTCATCGCCATGCGCCAATCTAATACCGCAAGTTTGAACTCCGCGCGCGCGCAGTGTAGAACACGCAAAGCTAGCGCAAACACACAGCGCTTGCGTTCGCTCGTATACGCAACATTAAATCTCACTACTGTTTCACCGGCTTCCAGTGCAAACAAAACGTCCTGCAGCGAGCAGATGTGCAGGCAGGCAGGGGTTCCTTCGAACGAGACTGAGATTGCAAAACGACGGCGCGGAAAAATGAAAGTAACCTTTATTTGATACCTTGGGTATTAAAAATACTGCGATTGGCACCATTGATGATAATTAGCACACTTTTTGTCATACTTGTTCGCGCGTTTGATTTTGATCATACGCATCAAATTATATTACCGCGTGAAAATTAGGTATTAAAATATTTTAATTTTAGTCATATCCCTTTTATACGAATCGCGGCATTATATATCCCCAATTAACGCCAGGTTCACAAAAACACATCATTTAACCGCAATAGTCTTCCAGAAATGTAGCATTTTGTTTGCTTTTCAGCATATGAAAAGCTGGCATCGTTATCAAGATAGACGAACAGTCAAACACTGGATTTAATGTACTGTCTTATGTTTCACACGTTGCTTTAAAAGAAACACGCACACTTCAGCTGTCTGACTCTGATTCCGTTTTTGAGTTCTTCTAGTGAGAACAGCATTTCTTAATTTATACGTTTTGTGTACATAATGCAAAAATCTGATATATTAGGTTATTCTTGCGCCGGGAATAATGTTAAAGCTGTTAATAATCTAAATACCGAAGCACCTTGTAAAAAGGCCCGCAGTTAATGATTTCACATTAAAATAATCTGAAAGAAAGGCAGCGAGAACGCACAATTATCAGCGCAAACTTTTTTCAGAAAATACAATGTTTTCTGTTACCTCTAGGCTGTATGAAAGTCCCTGTCCTTAAACAACGGCTGGATCTGTTTCTCGAACGTCCGGCCTCCAACATGCGCTCGCTGCCTTCCGTCGTGCTTTGGCTGCGCATGTGCGTAAGAAGCTCGCAAGACGCCGGAGCCTTATCGAAGGTAGGAAGCTCGCGCTGGAAGCGGGACATCTGAAACTGCTCTTTGTTGTTTTCATACTGTCAGACTATAGTCGTGTAGAGGAACGTATT